CTGGTCTTATACCCTCATTTGACAGAGGAGGAAACTGAGGCCCAGAAAGGGGAAGTGACTTATCCCAGGCCCGAGTGAGGTAGCGGCAGACCAGGACTAGAACACAGGCCTCCTGACTCCCTGCCCAGAACTCTGCTGCCTCTTTCTCCCCGGGCCCTGCCCCTCCTGTGCCCAGTACCCAGATAAGTCTTTTCCCCAGCTCCCTCTTACCCACACTCACCCCCCCGGCTCCCGCTGCTTCCCTTTTCCTGCCTGCCCCTGCCTTCCATGCCAGGCCGGTGGCCAGGCCATGACTGACCCCTGCTGTCTCTTCCAACAGTGCCTGAAGCTCCTGTCATTGACACCCAGCGTACCTTTGCCTACGATCAGATCTTCCTGTGCTGGCGGCTTCCCCCCCACTCACCACCTGCCTGGCACTATACCGTCGAGTTCCGGCGCACGGATGTGCCTGCCCAGCCAGGTCCTACCCGCTGGCAGCGGCGGGAGGAGGTGAGGGGCACCAGTGCCCTGCTCGAGAACCCTGACACAGGCTCTGTGTACGTGCTGCGTGTCCGTGGCTGCAACAAGGCCGGCTACGGCGAGTACAGCGAGGATGTGCACCTGCACACGCCTCCGGCCCCCGGTGAGTGAGCAGGCGGGTGGGCGTGCGAAGGGCACAGGGTATGCCCAGGCCCAGGCACCAACAGCTGGTTCCGCGTGGGCGCCGGAGAGGCCGTTTAACATAGTGGGTTGCCTGCAGTAGCTCTGGAGCTAGACTGCTTGGGTTCAAATCCCAGCTCTGCCTCCTGCTAACTGTGTGGGTGGCTTTGGGCAAGTTTGTCACCCTCTCTGAACTTCAGAGTCCTTTTCTGTAGGGATAATATTACTTACCTCATAGGGTTGTGAAAATTAAACTGTTGTGAGATGACACATGTAAAGTCTTAGCACAGTTTCTGGCTCATAGTTAGGGCTCAATAAATATTAGTAAAGTGACTCTCTAGAAAATAGTTTGGTCACTGGGGTGTGGGCGTGATAGGGAAGCCTTGCCACCTAAATAGGGGGCATAATATGTAGGGCTTGGGTAACCAGATGGAACAGAACAGTAGTGGGGACTGTCCACGGGGCTGGCCACGGGAAGGGGTTAGAGGAGCACTGTGAGTCAGCTGAGTCGGGAACCCTGGGTTCCGTGTCCACTGCTCATCACTGGAACTCTTCCTGGGGCTCCAAGCCCATTTGGGAGGCCCTTTCCTTTTCTCTATTCCCCCCCATTCCAGTTTCCCAGGAGCCCCCCACCTGTTCCTGGTGACTGAACCCCTCGGCAACTTGTTCCCTGTTCTGAAATCTCCCAGTGTCTTATACTAACACCTCACAGCCCCCAGTGCCAGCATTTGTCCCTGAAGTCCTTCCTTCTGTCTCAACCTTCCCCCCCTTCCAGTCCTGCATTTCTTCCTCGATGGCCGCTGGGGTGCCAGCCGAGAGCGGCTGGCCATCAGCAAGGACCAGCGAGCAGTACGAAGTGTTCCAGGCCTACCCCTGCTGCTGGCTGCTGACCGGCTGCTGACCGGCTGCCACCTGAGCGTGGACGTGGTCCTGGGTGATGTGGCTGTGACCCAGGGTCGCAGCTACTGGGCCTGCGCTGTGGACCCAGCCTCCTACTTGGTCAAGGTTGGCGTCGGGCTGGAGAGCAAGCTTCAGGAAAGCTTCCAGGGTGCCCCCGATGTGATCAGCCCCAGGTCAGGCCCCTCTGGAAGGGATGGGGTGTGGGGGCCCTGGGTGGGAGCTGGGGACAGGGTAGGGGTGGCAAGGGGAGCACAGACTTGCTGGGGCGGGGCTGGCTGGGGAGGGGATTAGGAGAAAGTGGTAGCAGCATGGAAGCCAGGCTGGGGGGCCTGTGGCCAGCAGAGACGTGGGCTTGGTAAAAGCGTTTTTGGAGTGTGTGTTCAGGGAAAGGGATGATAGAAGAGGGAGCCATCTCCACCTCCTTCCCTCCATCTGCCACTCAGGACCAACACACCATCCCTCCAAGCCTCCGCGTCCTTTCTCACTAATGCCCCATCCACATCCTTTCTCCACAAAGCCTTTTCTCTCCAAGAGCTTTTATCCGCCTCTTTTCTCAGCATCCTAAAATTCTTCCCTTCCGCCTCCCATCTCCACAACCCTCCTCTCTGCAACGTCCTGTTTAACACCCTCCCACACAGGCTTCTCTCCCTAACCCTCTCCCCAGCACTCTGTCCCCGAACACCCCCAACACCAATCCCCTCCTAAACCCATCACCCTCAACCCTGCGTCCTGTAACATCCTTCACCTTCGACACCAACTGACCCTCGTCTCTCCCGACACCTACCTTCCCAACATCCTTTCTCTGTTCCTCCCTTCTCCCTGGTATCTTAGTCACCTACCCCTGATTCTGCCAGCATCCCCTAACCCTCAGAGCCTTCACCCAGCGTAATTCCCTCGACACCTCCCTATCTCGGTAAGCGCTGCATTCCTTCAGCTTCCTCAGTGCCTCCTCTTTCCTTGTCCCCGCAACGCCTCTCCTGCTAATGTGCTTTCCTTTCAGTTCCCATTTCCCACCAAACCAAACCCCCAACTCCGTACTCTAACCCATGGCTCTTCAACATGTTTTCTCCTCGATACCCCAAATCGATCCCATCACCCTCTTGCTTCACATTCCATCCTTCCAGCATCTCCCTCCAGCACCCGATCCCTCACTCCCTTCCTCCTCCTACCCAACGCCCACTCCTGCAGGTACGATCCGGACAGTGGGCACGACAGTGGTGCGGAGGATGCCACAGTGGAGGCGTCGCCACCCTTCGCTTTCCTAACCATCGGCATGGGCAAGATCCTGCTGGGGTCCGGGGCGAGCGCAGGTGCAGGGCTGACAGGGAGGGACGGCCCAGCAGCCAGCTGCACGGTGCCCCTGCCGCCCCGCCTGGGCATCTGCCTGGACTACGAGCGAGGCCGGGTGTCCTTCCTGGATGCTGTGTCCTTCCGTGGGCTCTTAGAATGCCCACTGGACTGCTCAGGGCCTGTGTGCCCTGCCTTTTGCTTCATTGGGGGTGGCGCAGTACAGCTACAGGAGCCAGTGGGCACTAAGCCTGAGAGGAAGGTCACCATTGGGGGCTTCGCCAAGCTGGACTGACTCTTCCAGGCCCTCTTCCAGAACTGGGGTCCTCCTGAGTCCTGGCCCCCTAAGCCTCCTGGCGCCACGTCGTTACCCCCAAACTCTTCCTACCATGTGGTCCTGCCCCTTACCCCATGTCTGTGTCTTCCCAGGGCTTTCTCTTGACCAAGGGGCTCTCCTCTGCTCACCACTCTAGCTGTCCCCCATTCTCTCCACTGCCTGCCAGCCCAGGCCCCCACCCCACCAGTCTCCGTACCATGCCCTGCCTTTGGCCTCTTACCCAAGTCATGGAGAGAGCCCCTTCTCCATCTCTGTGCTGTACCGCCCAGGCTGATTGGGAGGGAGGGCACTGGAACACTGGGCATGATCCCAGCTCTGCCCTTGGCCCTGCTGAGCTCCTGTCCCATCGATGCTGAACTACAGCCTCGGGGCAGGCAGGCTCTTTGGCTGGACACTGTCCAGGCACTCCGTGGTGAGGGAAAGGGGACCCTATCATTCTGCTTTATTTATTTGGGTCCCCACACCCCCCCAGCCGCATGCCCCTTATGTCCCTCTTCTCCCTCTTGCATGCTTTACCTGTCCCGCACCCATGCCAACGTGCCAAGTCTCCCCTGGGGACCCAGCTGAGACTGAGTACCCCCACTGGGTTGGGCAGGCAAGGCCTCTGGTGCCCCTGCTGCCTCTCTGCGATGGGCACTGCGAGGCCTGTGCCAAGCAACGGCTGTTATTTTCATGGTTTATAAACAATAAACTGTGATGCCAGGCACATCTCTGCCTTCCTTGAGCGTGACCATTCCTCTTAGTTTCCGTGCTGGGTGTGGCTGGCGGGAGGGTTCCAGGGTGCTCGGTTGTCGCTCAGAGCCAGGGTGCCCGGTGGGTCTGGTCGCCAAGCCAGGCTCTGCCGAGCCGACCAGGGCCAGCAGGGGGCGCAGCTCTCCAGCTGCCGGCGTCAGGCCCCAGACGGGGCGTCCGGGTGGCCGCGCCCTGGCCCTAGGGGAATGTGGTTGAGGGGGCGGGCACGGTGCCTGGGCCCCAAGGGGTCAGGGAACCAGAACCATTTCCCCATTCCCAGGGTGCTGGGAAGCCCACCCCAGACGCAGCGGCCGGGTGGGGCGGGCCTGGCGCCAGCGCCCGGATCCGACCGAGCCCCCGCTTATCGTGGCCCTGTTGACTCTGCGGCTGTTATCGCTGCCCAAGGATTTACTTCACACTCGGGCAGCTAAGAATAGAGCCGCCTGGGGGCACCGTGCCAGGGCGAGAAGAGGGCGCGGGCCGCCGAGTGAAACCCCGCGGAGGAGAGGGGAGAGCCACTGGGCAGGCGGAGCCCAGTCACGCCAGCCCTCCAAGTCTGCCTAGGTTTTGTTTCCTCCTTCCTCTTGTGCCCCAGGGATGGGGAAGAGGTGACTGAGTTCTTCCGCTGGCCACCCCTGCGCCCTTATGTCACTTCTTGCCCACATCTCCTGCTTCTTAAATTAACCCTACTCCTTCTTGCCTCCTTTCCTCCCCCCTACCCAAAGCCCTCTTCTAGGCCCCCTGGCGGACACATTCTGACCGCCTCTCCCATCCATGAGTCACAGATGAAGGATCAGAAGTTGGCCCAGCGGGAGGCCACGTTTTATTCAGCCGTGTTCAGGTTCCCATTCCCCGTCTCTGGGCTTTGTGGGCCGGTCCTCCCGGAGCCACCACTGCGCCACTCCTCAGGCATGTCCCCCAGGGGCAAGGACGGGCTTCACCAGGCCCAGAGGGGTTAGGGGAACTTGGTAGGGCCTCGGAGGGAGGCTGTGAGCAGCCCACCCAGCTCACCAGCCCAGAACAGAGTGGAAGGATCTGGCGGTGGAGAACCTGAGGGGGGCGGACTGGCACCGGCTCGCTGCTCAGCTCAGCTGGTGACATGCCCCTACAAGTTGGCAGAAGTGGCTGCCACTGCTGGGTTTGTGTAAGAGAGGCTGCTGCCACCGTTGCCTGAAGAAACCTGGGTGGAGGAAAAACAGATCCAGGGTGAGGGGCAGAAACTACCTCCTCGGGCCCCTGGATGGCACCATAGGCAGGGGTAATAGGTCCAGGGGCCTGGCCAGCTCCGAAAGGGTTAGTTCAGAGAGAGCACCTGCTGGCCTCACCAGCAGCCAGGTGACTGTAAACAGGGCTGCTCCCCCTCCCTCTGCTCCCTTTCACCCCTCTCCTTGGCTCTAGTCACCCACCTTGCCCTCCCCTGCCGCCTCTTTCCCCCTCCATTCTCTGCTCCTCCAGCCTAAGGAGATGTGTTAAAACTTGAGAGGGAGGTCTCCATGAGGAGGAAAATGGGGGCAAGAAAAAGAAACTCCTCTCTCCTCCCCCACCCGGAGAGGCTTTCCAGCCCCAGGTGGCGGCAGTAATTATTTACTAGGTCCTGTAGAGAAAGGCCAAGAGAGGAAAAAGGGAGGGGGGCGGAGTCCCTGCTTCCTTGAGTCTCCCAAGAACCCCACTGGCACCCAGGCTCACCTGGCCTGGTGACACTTCTTCCTCTACATGGGAGACACCCCCCTCCAAGCCTTTCTCAGTCTACTTTCCATTCTTAGGAGATGAGTGGGGACATAGGTGCTCATTCCTTGTGACTCGTGCAGGAAGGGCTCCCCTGGGCACAGTGCCGCACCCATTTTGCCGCTGGGCATCCTAGCGAGCACTGCAGTGGCGCAGTTCAGCCAGAGCCAGCCAGCAGTGAATGTGGACAGGCAAAGCTCTTTTGGGAATTCTGGTAGTGGGGGCACTCCCTCTTGAGGGCCCCTTTCTTCCGTGGTCTCCTCCCCAGTCCTCCTCTGATCTCCACCCCCATTCTTGCCAGGCCCTCCACTGCTTACCTCCTGCCGCCTCGCCCCTTTCTCCTCTCCCAAGCTCTTTAGGTTTTCCAAGTACCCCTCAGAACCCCTGCCCATCCAAAACCTCTGCCTCCCCCAGCCTGTGGGGCCCATCCTCACCTCCTCATAGGGGCTACGACTGGTACTGCCAGGGGGCACATAGCGCCCGTGGGTATGGTAGGTGGGGTACTCGCTCATAGGATGGTAGGCATCCCGGGTTGGAAAGATGTCCAGTTGCCCATAGTTCTTTCGACGGCACTGACACACAGCCTGGGAAGATAGGAGGTTATGGTGGGCCAGGGGTTCCTTCCACCAGGGGGACTCTGGTCAGGGCCAGAGACTGAGCACTCACCAGGGCAACGAGATAGATGATGGCCAGCGCGACCAGGATACAGACCAGCACCAGCAGGGCGATGCCCCAGCCTGGTACCCCAGACCCAGACTGGGCAGAGGAAGGAATCGGCACACTTTGCACTACAAGGAAAAACAGTGGTCAGGGCAGTCTCCCAAAGGAGGCACCCTCCCCCTGCTAGCACCAAGCGGAAGTGCAGGAACCCAGACGCTGGAGGGAGAGGTGCCCTGGCGTGGTGCCGGGGCTGCAGCTGGAGAAGTAGCCTCACCACTGACTCTTGAGATATTCAGGTTATATTTGTCTGCCTCCTTTACATTCTGAAGAAGCTGCGTTTTCACATCCTGGACACTGATGGAAGCCTCTCGGAAGGCCAGAGTTGATTCTACCACCACCGACCCCGGCCTGGTTACAGGGTAATAGGCAACTCAGCCACGAGTCCCAGATTCTCAGCACTTTTCCCCAACCATGAGTACACCAGTCCTTCCCCACAGCCGTGACAACATCCACCCCCCACACACAGAGTCCACACCCAGAACTGTACCTGAACTGGATATAAGAGATGCCCAGAAAATCCTGTTCTTTGTAAATCTGCAAGAACTGAAGTGGGAGGGAAAGGACTCAGGCTCGATGCAAAGGGTTTGAGCAGTTTTGGAGACTGCTTTAGGGGAGCATGCTGAAGGAAGGCAGATACCCACCAATTCCGAAATGTTTCTCTGCAGCTCTTGGAAGTAGTTGGTGCTGGGATCTTCCAGGGAAGAATTAAACTGGAGGTTCAAAATGTGAAAAGACAGGAAGAAGAAAGAGACCCTAGTAGACAACGGGGAGGAAGTGCTGTGATTGGAGGAGGCGGGAGAAGGTACTGTGCTATGGCGAGTGCTAATGGCAATAGTTCTGGTGCTGTGGCTGGCAAGGGTGGTGGGAGTATCAGAGTGGTGGCTGGGAATTGAAGATGGAGTACCCTTGCCGACTGGGGCTGTGGTAGCCTTGGCAGAGGTGCCGTTGTGCACCAGAGTGGAAGCTGAGCCTGATGTAGAGCTCTTGGTTGAGGCCAAGGTGACATTTTGGGCTGAAGTGGTTGTGGAGCCCGAGGCTGGTCTGGTGGTTGAGGCTGTAGTGACATCAGAGACTGGAGCTGTTGTGGAGCCCGAGGCTGGTCTGGTAGTTGAGGCTGTAGTGACATCAGAGACTGGAGCTGTTGTGGAGCCCGAGGCTGGTCTGGTAGTTGAGGCTGTAGTGACGTCAGAGACTGGAGCGGTGGTGGAGCCCGAGGCTGGTCTGGTGGTTGAGGCTGTAGTGACGTCAGAGACTGGAGCTGTTGTGGAGCCCGAGGCTGGTCTGGTGGTTGAGGCTGTAGTGACATCAGAGACTGGAGTGATTGTGGGGCCTGAGGCTGGTCTGGTGGTTGAGGATGTAGTGACATCAGAGACTGGAGCGGTGGTGGAGCCCGAGGCTGGTCTGGTGGTTGAGGATGTAGTGACATCAGAGACTGGAGCGGTGGTGGAGCCTGAGGCTGGTCTGGTGGTTGAGGCTGTAGTGACATCAGAGGCTGGAGCTGTTGTGGAGCCTGAGGCTGGTCTGGTGGTTGAGGCTGTAGTGACATCAGAGACTGGAGCGGTGGTGGAGACTGAGGCTGGTCTGGTGGCTGGGACCGAGGTGACATTGGGGGCTGGAGTGGTGGTGGAGCCTGAGGCTGGGCTGGTAGTTAGGGCTGTGGTGACACTGACGACTGGAGTGGTGGAGCCTGAACCAGGACTGTGGTTGGAGTGGAAACTGCTGGTTGTGCTCACCGCAGTTCTCTCAGTAGAGCTGGATGGTGGATGGCTTTGGGTAGACAAAGTCTCTGTTTCTCTGCTTGGGCTGGAGCTTGTGTGGCCAAAATCTGTAGAAACTGTTGAGGATTGAACAATTGTCATAGCTGTTAAGAAGCTGAGGTGACAGGGTTGGGTTGGAGGACAAATTCGAGCAAGGAGAAAATATAACCTCCGGCTACCAGAGAAGTCCTCCCAGGTAGATGGAGGAGTGGGCAGCGTCAGGCAGCCGTGGGGTCAGCCCTCTTCCTCCCTCCCTGTAGGCAGCCTCCCTCTCTCTGCTCACACGCCTCTGCTCCTGGCTTGCCCAGGTCTCCATTCCCAAGACTTACCTCTCCTGACTCCCTTACCCCCAGACTTCTCTTCAGGACATTTCCCGCCCCTGGCACCCACTTTCCTGGGGGCTGCCTCTTCTCAGCCTGTCCTTAGCCTTTCGTTCATTCTGGCACAGACGGGGCCACCCCTGTCTGCAATTTCTGCCTTTCATGGTGCCATCTGCCAGGAAGCAAAACCCACAGAAAGGCAAAGAAGACCACGTAAGCAGGGCAGCCCACTCCCCACCTGTGCCCCTCACCTGTGAACACTACGAGCAGCAGCAGCAGGAAGAAAGAGGACTGGATGCCTGGTGTCATGGTGGTGGTGAACCGGGTGAGGAGGGGGCAGAACAGACTCAGGCAGGCGCTGCGTGTGAGGTAGAGCGGGTACAGGCGCCTGCTGCTTTATACCGGTCCCCCGCCCGCCCTTGGCACAGCCGGAGCAGGTGACAGGTGACAAAACTCCGCCCCCTCCCCCCTTCCTTACCTCTTCCTCCTCCTCCCAACCATTTCTGGGTAGGGTACATGGGCTCTAATCACTCAACCCTCTTGACAATTTGTTTGTTCTCCAACTGGCCTCCCCCTTTCGCCAACCACTCCCTGGCTCCAGAAGGTGGGGGGAGAGAAGGAGGGTCGGGAGTCTGGGACGTGGGGCCCCCTGGCTCTAGTTTTAGCCCCAAGGCAACAGCTAAGGTGAGAAAAGGGAACAGACAAGGCTGGCTAGGTCTAGGTCCTGGACAGCAAGAGCAGGAAGCCCACCCCTAGGTCCCCAACTCCACTTCCCCACCCACTCTGCGTCCACCAAAGCCCCACTCTGTGGAGCTGAGAAGAAAACGAGGGCTTGATAATGAGTGGACTAGGTGCTAGTTTGGGACTCCCTCCCCCCACCACTTCCCGGAATCGCCCCACCCTTCTAACCGCTCCCTGTGCCGTTCGTTCCACACGCAGTTCTACCCTGAAACCCACAGTCCCCGCCCGGGCTGCACTTTCCAGCAGCCTGAGTTCCTTCCTTGGCTTTCTCCTGAGAGGGAGTGAGGGAAAAATTTTCCACTTAAAGCACGAAACCTGGGCTCCAACGAACCCTAGGGTCCTTCCCTTCCATCCTCCACTTTCTAGCGGCGGCCAGCCCGCACTGCTGGCCAGGAGCTCCTGCCATCTAGTGGTCACCGGGAGCCTTGTGGGGCTGGCCCGCAGGGGCCAAGGGGCTGCCCCGACCCGGTGGAGACAAGGTTGGACGGCGCTGCCTGATGGGGGCAGAGTCTAGGGAGGCCGGGCCGGGGAGAGGAGTCAGTGCCTTGGACAGAGGGAGGACTGCACAGTATAATGAAGGGACTGGAAGCTTTAGGAGGGGGACTCTGGGGCGCCTGGGGACGGTGCCTGGAGGAAATGGTGCTGAATGTGTGGGGTCCTGAGGTATGTGAAAGGAGCACCGAGGTATGTGGGAGAGGACATCGGAACGAGGAAGGGGGAATGGGACAAGTTATGCGGGTGCAGTTACATATTTAGGACGCAGAGAGTAGGCGGGGCTACGGAATGGACTTTGGAGGCACAAAACTATCCTTTGGGGAGCAGAGTGGCATTTGGAACAGGTAGGCACGTGGTGGGGGGGCAAAACCATATATGAGGGTGCATAATTTGAAAGAACCGAGAGGTATTTGAAGGACAGAAATATTTTGGTGCAGGGAGGTATTTGGGGCCACAGCGGCACGTGGCGCTCAGCGTATCAGGCTGGCCCGGCAGTCCCGGGGTGCGGTCTAGGACGACGGAAGCAGTTATGACTCTATTAGGAAAACAATTCTTAGCCCCAGTCAATGCAGATTGGGAAATAATACATTAAAAACACTTCGGTGCGGCGCGGGATTAGAGCGAAGCCCGCTCAGAGGCGCGGGACCACAGCTCCGGTCCGCGTCCTGCTCGGCTTCCAAGGCGCGGCTTTGTGCGCGGCCGGACCCGGGGGCGGGCGCGGGGCGGGGTGGGGGCGTCTTACGTCAGCGCGCCCGGGCGCGCGGGCCAGAGAGGCGGAGAAGCCCCCCCACCCGCAGGCTAGAGAAAGCACGAGTATCTAGATGGGCGGCCCCAAACTTCAACTCCCGGCGTTGCCCAGCAACAGCCATTCAATCCGGTTGCTGGGACACGCGTCACCATGGCGACCGCTCCGCGCCGCTCAGTCTGAGTATTTAAAGAGCAAGCGCGCGCAACGCCTGAGCGTCGGAAAGCGGCCTTCCGGGACTCCGCGATCTCCCCTTGTCCTTTCACCCCTCCCCCTTACGATTCCTTTCACCTTCCGGGCGCTGAGGCTTTCTGGCCTCCAAGGTGAACCCAACTCCCCAGCGCGCCCCCAGTTCCTGGGCCGGGCCGGCTTCAGGTGGTGGGGAGTGGGATCCCGGGCCCCGGGCGGGCGGGAGGGACGGGACGCGGTGCAGTGTTGTTCTTTCCCCCGCCAATATTGCACTCGTCCCGGCCTCCGGCCCCCCCGGCCCCCCGGCCTCCCCCTCAAGGGACAGCCCCCGCTCTCCTGGCTCTCGATTCCGGCTGATCTAAGATAGACTGGAGTGTCGCCGCTACCACCGTGAGTAAGTAGGGCTGGGAGGACTTTAGCCATCCTCTGACCAACACTCTATCCTTCACTTAACCCCATCCAGCACCTTCCCCACCCGCACCCCCTAATCAACCCAACTTCCCCTAGATCTCTAACTGCCAACCTACCAGTCTTTCTCCCTTAACTCCTCAGGTTCCTTCCTGTTCCCCACCCTATCCCGGAAAATCCCTAAAATAAGCAATTGCACTGGCTTAGAAAACAACTGGAACTTTATGGCAATGTGCTGTTATCTTTCCTGGGGTTAGTGCCTGAGTAATACCCCTTGAAAATTTCCCATCCCCTGAAGTGGGGTAACCAGCCCTCTGGGGCTGAACTCCTGACGAGTGTCAGAGAAGGGTCTGTGTTTGGCTAAGGGGCTGTAGCTTAGACCCCAGGGTCTCCAGGATCGACCCCAAGGCCAAAGGATCTAAAATCAGGATTCTGAATCCGGTGGTCACCTCCTCACACCCTTCCCTGGAGCAGCTGCCTCCGGAATGGCTCAAAGTCCTCAGGCACTGTGTCTGAAGAAGGGGAAATAAGTAACGTCAGAGGATGTGGCTCTCCTGAAAGAGCATGAGGGGTCAGGTTGATCTCGGTCTGCAGCCTCACCATTGCATCGATACTGGAGATTGGACCAAATGATGTTTTCTTGGGAGAAGCAGAATACACCGAGACGCCCCCCTCGCATGGATGTGTCAATGATCACCCCAGAATCCGCCACTAGCTGGGGTCCCTCATAGAGTTTCACCCTGTCCAGGATAGGAGTGTCTGTTGGTGCTAGGGTGCCAGTGGGCACTGTGCCACCATGCTGTGGGGGGGGGCCTGCTCTTCTCCAGCCCCCCTTGAGCTCACCAGGCCTGAGAGAGAAGGGAGGAAGGAAAGGGGAGGGAAGGGGGGTGCTTTTCTCAGGCCTGGGGCCCCTAGCTCTTTGTCCGGCCCCTTTTGCATCTCAAAGCACCAGCCACATTCCAAGCGAGGATTGGGTTGCCATGACGATGAGCACAATGGGCTGGGGGGTGAAGTCACCCGCTTCCCAGGCTCTAGTCCACCCCCTTTTATCCCCTGTCCTGGCACCCCACAGCCCCAGGCACCTTAAAGGGGAACCAACCCAGGTTGCTGGACTCTGAGCTCTTGGCCATGGAAAGTCCAGCCTCTTAGCAGGCCCATTTCTCCTCCCTTCCTGGTCATCCGCACTAACTAGGGGCACTTGTTGGAGGGAAATGCAAAGTTGTGGACAAAGTGCTGAAGAGGGAGGCCTGTGAAGTCTGGGCCTTGGTTTGCTCTTCTGTAAATGATGATCCCTTCCAGGTCAGACACTTTGATGAGGCAGGTTCTGGGCTGTACCAATTAAGGGGCCAATGTGATGCACCCCTCCACAGATTGGCCTGTGGCTGGGAGGCTCCCGGGAACTGTAAAGGGCATTTATGCCAATGCCCTTGTTTTACGGAGGGGAAAGTGGGGCAGGAAGGAGTGATTTGACCAACATTGCCTACAGGTTCTCCTGTCTGTGGTGAGAAGGGAGGTGGAGAGAAAGGGCCACGGTCCCCACCCATAGCACCAGGGAATTGAGTAGAGAGGAGGTCACTGGTGAGTCCCAGCTAAAGGGAAAGGAAAGACCCGGCCCGGGTCCCTCAGGTGGGCTCAGCCCCACTCCTCACCGAATGTAGCCAACTTGAGGCCGGTGCAGCAGCTGCCAGCGATAGGAGGTCTTATCACGCCAGCCCACGTTTCTTGGGTCAGTCCACAGCAGTCGTACCTGATCAGGAGTGTGGCCAGTATGCCACAGGGCATTTCGGAGGTGCTCACCTGGGCCAGACACTGATGTCACTGCCTGGGGAGCATTGGCAAAGACAATGGGTCAACCACAGGACCAGAGTAAGAGAGACAACAGGTTGGTAAGTGCAGGTGGGAAAGGGAGTCACGGGGGTCAGGAGAATGCTCTGGTGCCCTGGAGAGCTGACCTCCAAGTCAAATGTCTGGGTGAGAGGGTTCCCAGTCAGGCAGTGGGGTGAGGGGAGCCCTGGGGCTTGGGGGACAGAGCGCTGGGAAAGAGTCCTGGATTGGGGAATCTGGGTAGCTGGGGGACCTTAAGCTGTAGCCCGGGCTGCGCAACAGCCCGGAAAGGTGTGGCCTGCCAGTAGGTCTGCTCCGTCTGCTTCCACATGACCACATAGAAGCGGCCACTGTCCTGATAACTGAAGAGAAAGCCTGCGTAGTCATCATCAGTCACTGTGTTCACGTGGAAGGTGCCTTCAAAGTCCACACCATTGAAGGCCGTGTATCCTGGGGTAAGGGTTGGGAAAAGGTCAGGGGCAGCAAAGCTACTGGTGGCCCATTGTGGGATCTGCTACATGTGTGGCCAGCTTGGCCCGCTGCCTTCTCTCTCACCCCTTTGCCTACCCTCCCTGTCCACTTCCTACCCCACCCTCTGTAGGATTCCTCTGTTTGAAAATTATTGAAATTGCTGAACTGGGTGTCCCTTACATACCAACTGCCAGGCCAGGGTCACTGTTCATGGTCTGAACGATTTCCATGCCCTAGGGTTGTATGGTAAAGAAAAAAGCCATGATCCGGGTGCTTTACCCGACTTAGGCCCCACCTGGTAATCTAGTCTAATAGCACCTGCCCAGCCCACTGCCCTAAGTACCTGGTTGAGCACGACCCAGTTTGGGTCAATCTGAGCATCACCTTCCGGATCCAGGACGACGGTCTGATAGGCCCGAAAATCCGTGAGGGTTACCTCGGCACTTTCAGGACACACGTCCAGGGGGTCAACCACAGCATCATTGTCAAAGTCATCCT